CTTTATTATTATCTCCATGTGTGGTGTTAGATATCAATTAAATAAAAATATAATTTCATGAGAATTGGGAAGAGTAAGCCTTGATTTTCACCTTTTATTTTTTAAAAAAATCTTTATTATTAAAAGTATTACAGATGTTCCCTTTTCCCCCCATTGAGTCTTTCTAGCCTGTACTGGCTCCTACCTCCTCTCCAGGCCTTCTCCACCCTATGGTCTGTGTCCATGGGTTAAGCATATATGCATACAAGTTCTTTGGTTAATCTCTTCCCACCATCCATCCACCCGCACCTTCCCTCTGAGACTTGACCACTGTTACCTGCTTCTATGTCTCTGGATCTATTTTGTCCATCAGTTTGTTTTGATCTTTAGATTCCACATATGAGTGTGATCGTGTGATATGTTCTTGCCACCTGTGCTTCTGTGCTTCACCACCCTCCTTTGGCCCCTTCTAGTTGAACCTGTGACTCAGTTTCCAATATAGTTTTCAAGTTTGCCAAAGAAATCTTGCTGCTCTACTTATTTGATTCCTTAATTGACTAGAATTTGAAGGAGAAAAAAAAAATGAAACTCATGCCACTCAGAGCCGATCTTATTCCACCAGAGAAGTTTCCGTTCAGTGTTTGCCTACAGTCTGCTGGGTCTCAGGTGACCAGTGCTGCTGCCCAGCCAGGTAGAGCCATCCATCTGGTTTTTTGGAAGGACTGTCAGGTTTTGGACAGGTGCTGTTCTTCATCAGCACAATCTCCTGTGATCCTTCTTATCAAGCACTAAAAGGTTTTCTTGGCTCATAGCCATCATTACCTTGGATATTTAGAGTGCTTTTTTAAAAAGCAACTTTTACTTCTTTTTCTTTCTGTATTTCTTTTTTTTTTTGTGGGGGAGGTGACTATGAAGCTAGTCTCTAGTTTATATATGTTAGTTATTTGGCCCACATTTATTAATACTGGATATCCTATATAATAAAAAAGTAATATGCAAATTGGTCATCATTCCAAGACACAAGATGGCTGCCCCCATGTGGACATAAGATGGCCACCATAAGATAACCAGCAGGGAGGACCAGATAGGGGGGGCCAGGCCTGCAGGGGAAGGCAGTTGTGTGTCGGGGGGAGAATCAGGCCTGCAGTGGAGAACAGTTGTTGGGGACCCAGGCCTGCAGGGGAGGAAAGTTTAGGGGGACCAGGCCTGCAGTGGAGGACAATTAGTGGCAACCAGACTGGCAGGGGAGGGCAGTTAGGGGCAATCGGGCTGGTTGGGGAGCAGTTAGGCATAGATCAGGCTGGCAGGGGAGTGGTTAGGGATGATCAGGCAGGCAGGCAGAAGCGGTTATTGGCAATCAGGCAGAGGCAGGCAAAGTGGTTGGGAGCCAGCAGTACTGGCTTATGAGAGGGATGTTCAAATGCCCATATAGGCCCGATCCCTGGCAGTCAGACATCACTCAAGGGGTCCCAGATTGGAGAGGATGCAGGCTGGGCTGAAGGGCAAACTCCACCCCCCCTCCCCCAATTCCTGCCCATGTACGAATTCGTGCACCGGGCCTCTAGTATATTCATATCATAAAAGCAACTTTTCTTGAAGCTGTGACACTAGGTTCTTTTAAAAATTGAATCAGTACACTTTTGATAGATGTTACTAAGCTATTATGTTGGTGCTTAAATAGTAGTAAGAAAAGGCAACAGAAATCATTGCAGCTCATTTTGCAATAGAAAATCAATGTCAGAGGCCACATTTCTTCTTTCTTTCTTTCTTTCTTTCTTTCTTTCTTTCTTTCTTTCTTTCTTTCTTTCTTTCTTTCTTTCTTTCCTTAAACATGTATTTATATGTGTGTTTATTTGAGAGAGAGGAAGAAAGAGGGAGAGAGAGGAACATCAATTGGTTGCCTCCCATATACACTCTTACTGGGGGTCGAACTCACCAGCCAGGACTGCCGGAGGCCATATTTTAACAATCGTGTTTATGCAATGAATGGATTAGCTAGGATAATTCCTATTAAATATTAAAAACTATAAAATATTTAATTAAAGTGTACAGATTTTTTGTTTCTATTTAATTTCCACACTGGTCATCTTGCCTTTCATATTTAAATTCTATTTCATCATATGGTTCTTTCAGCAAGATCACATTCAGTAAGACCAGAAGAGAGGGACAGGAGGAATAGGTGAATGCATTACTTGGGGAAAATGAGCATGTGTTAAGAAAGGCAATGTTATTGAAAATTATACCTCCCTCACTCACCACCTGCTGTGTCCCATCCCCAGATGACCTCACTCTCCCTGGTCTTTCTTTGGCTTCTGATGAGCTTACTCACCACCACCTACCCTGGTCCTCTCCTGTCTTGACACTGTACTTTCCTAGTTCTTCTTTTGAACCCCTAACTGTTCATTTTCTGATTCCTTAGAAAGCAGGATCAATAAATCTTCATGTTACTATTGAATTCTGTTATAGTGTTGCTGAATTCTATGAATAGGTTTACTGAGCCATCCTTGATTTCCTGAATTAAACCTATCCCATATGAAAGTGTGTGTGTGTGTGTGTGTGTGTGTGTAATTATGATGTGCTAATATTTAAGAATGAGATGGCCCATAATTTTTCTTCCTCATAATGCCCTTGTCTAGCCTTAAGATTATCAAGATCATAATAGCCTCAAAACTGCAGAAATGAGAGCTTTGCATAATCTCTGAAATAATTTATATAAAATATGTTTCTTCAGGAGTTGGTAAAACTTAAGTGTACCTATAGCCCTTTTTGAACCTATAGCCCTTTTTGACATACTGTGCTTGGGAGTTTATTATGTATTTTGTTTGGGTGTTTGAAACTCTAATAACAAAAGAATGTGATGAAAAGTATTTTACATGTATTTTAATGAGTGGACAGGCTGAGTGAGAGGGGCATTATAACAGTGGAGGGTAATCAGAGGATACAAGATGTAATTTAGGGTTGAGGTCAAAGACCAGGGAAAAGAATGGATTGAAACTAAGTTGTACGGACTGATCATCCAAAAGAGGACAGAGCATGATGATTCTGATCGTACAGGAGAAGTTGAGACCATAGGTATTGATGCAGCTGTATTGTCAGTTACACAGATGAGTGGATGGGAACTTTGTCTGTGGTCCTCCTGGGTGGGATCCAGTGAGATAGAAGGCCCTGTGATGTGCAAAGTTGAGCTAGACAGACCTTGTGGAGGAATGCACATGAAAATAAAAAAAGGACCAAATATGCAGATTGCCCAACTTGGATATAGTGTTAACCATAAAAATATACAGTTTTAATGGGGAAGCTAGTTAGCAATTTAAATAAGGAAAATTGAGCAACATTGACAGAACTATATGCTGGTAACTCATTTCCCCCTCTTCACATGACTTCTTTTTTATTTTAATATTTCAGGAAGTAGTATAACCATTGCTCAGTCTAGGATTTAAAACCTGAAATATGTGTCTCTATCTTTTCTTTTCTTTCTTTTTTTTTTTTTTTGTCACTGTCATTGAATTCTTTTAAGTGAAAATAAAGATTACTGCATGGGAAAGGAGTTAACTCAAATCTTTCCTTTCCTTTTACCTAAGCCCCAAATAATCTCTCCTTTCTATGTATAAATACTTCCTGTAAAGTTAAAACCACCTGCATGTATAGATACTGTGTTTAAGGGACATTTTAGCGCTAGTTCCCTAACTGAATTAATAAACTCCTAGAAGGACTGTTTATTAATAACTTTTGATAGTTCCAGTGCCTTTTTCATACTTTGCTATAAATAAGTACTTTGTTTCAATTGACTTACTTATAACATGAAAAATTTATATAAAGTACTAAAAACAGTCACCATATATATAAAATTTTCAAAAACCACATACCAGTCTCTATTTAAACTCAATCTTGGTTTCCTTTAACGGAGTAGAACTTCCAGTTCCCCCTTAATAACTGATACCAGAGAAATACTATATTTGTTACACAAAGCTGTTATTTGAAAATCATCCATCTCATTTGCATCAACAAAGGCATTTTTACAGGACATGTAAGAGGACAGGCATATATTCCTATATTAGATCTGTTTTTAGCATCTGCTTTTGCTGAAAGGGATTTTTCCTGTGCTGCACATTTTTTCCTTGAACCAGTAATTTTGTTGATTTGACAGGTACTATGTGCCTATTTAGTCAGTGTGATACCACTCAAAATGTTTCATCCGAGAAAAAAAGACAATCAAATGACATGGCTAATTGTCAGGGATGATGGTGAGGTATGGCATAAATGGCAGGTGAATCAATGCATATTTTTTCAGTGCCAGAAACGAGCTAATGAAATTTACTCAAATGGCTCATGAAACACCAGTGTAGCCCATTTCAAACACTGTCATTTTATAAGAATGGAACTCTGGGCTGGAGGCCATTTAATAGGATTTAACAGTGCTTATAAAGCACACATACACCCACAACAAAACAAACACTGTCTCCAGAGAGAAGCTGCTTCCTGATTTCCCTTGGAAAAAAGAGGCAGATGAGGCTGGAAGTGACTGGAGACCTCTTATGTTGGAAGGACAGGTCTAATCATGGGGCCAAAATAGGAACCCAAGGGAAGGGATCTGGAATGTCTAGTACTTTGAAACAAGGCAAATGGTGCTCCAAATGGTGTTTGTCCTTGTCCCTGTGCAGGCTTTGGTGACTTTTCCAAGTCTTCTGTTCTTTCATGTCAAGTTGCAGGGGAAATGCTGTGTTATTTTCTGCCCAGCCCAGAGCCAGTGGGAAAATGCACATCTGGCTTGTAAATCACAGCCATGCACTGATGCCTCGCTCGCTCTTTATAGGGTGGCTGTCCTTTGTGCTTTACATGCTCTCAGTGTGGATAGTGTGACCTCCTGATGGAAACCTCCAGTGGCCCCTCCAGGGTCATGTTGGGGGACCTTCACATCCTCTCTGAAATGTAATGTTTGCTACCTGAAGTGCACTCTCTGTGGTCCCCAAAAGAAAAGTCATTCATTTTTACCTTTTCGTTTATTTATTTTTCCTGTTTAGAAATTGGCCCCTGGTTACGGGAGTTCAGAGCGAAGAATGCTGTGGATTTCTCGCAGTTAACATTTGACCCAGGACAGAAAGAACTTGTTGTAGGAGCAAGGTGAGAGATCTAACCTTTTGCCACCACACATATTTCCGGCCTTCGTGTTACATCTGTGCTAGTTACACGTGAGCTGCTCTGCCAGAGGTGACAAGTGCTAAGTAATAATTCTGCGACGGATGAAATACAGTGTGAGTGTCATAAAGGAGTCTGCTAAGAGTAGGATCACGCCTGCTTTTTACAGCAAGTGTCCATTGGGCTCTCCCCATGTGCCAGAAACTGTTCTAAGATGAATTCATTCATTTTTTCCTCCCATGAATCCTGAGAGGTAGGTATTGTAAGTATGATCAACACCGTATTTTAGAAATGAGGAAATTGAGGTAGGAAGTGGATAAATTCATTGCCTGGGGCATGTTTGTTCTATCTAATAATCAATGGACCAGGTTTTAGACCCAAGCAGTTAGGTTCCAGAAGCTATATTCTCAACTTCTCACTAGATTCCTCAGTAAAACTGTAGAGATCAAGAGACCATAATGTCCATTCTGCCCCATGTTACTTTTTTGTGTGACCATGATGTGGCCATTTACCCAGCCAACTGGGAATCCAAGGAAGTTGTTACTCCTTATATCTCTTAAGGTATACAAGTTCTTATATTTAGGTCAACATTTGACATTCCAGTTTGACATCAAGGCCACTAGAACACAGACAGTCAGCACAGATCTTGAGATTTCCCCTCAAACTTAGCATGCTTTCCTTAGAAATACAACCCTAGCATTCAAGTCATCTATTCTTGTCAGTGTATTTTGAGGATGATATATTTTAAAAAAAATACTGTAAGCATCTTTTAGGAAAAATGACATTGAGCTTGAATAAAAAGGTAATTTGTAGATTTGGACTCTTTTGGAATCTAAGCAAAGTACTTTGGACAGTGAAGTGCTCATTTTTTTAGCCCAAATTTACAAGATTATAAAACATACTTTTCATAGCAAGAGAGGTTGTTCAGTTCTCACATAGACCTGGGTGAAGCTAAATCTGACTTAGGTTCTGGGTGTTATAGACAAACTTTGAACATATGGCATTGGTGTTTTGCCATCAGATCTTAAGAAGCCCTTGTGCATCCACCCAATACTTGAAGACATTAAGATGCGTGGCTCTAACTTGAAAGTAATAGACAGAAGTGGGTTTAATTCCTGACACTGAACATGTCACCTGCATTTCTTTATGTTTGTACATAGTGAATACGGACTGGATGGGCTCACTTGGTATGCTTTTGCTTACTCCAGCCCATTGCTAATACTTGGTGGATTTCTGATGCTGATTTCCATGGAATTCTATCACTGGAAGCCTGAACTCTTTATTGCAAAGATTTTTAACTGGTTTGCTTGGCCTCCAGATTTTCTCTCCTTTCTGCATACCATGGCCAATGTCATCTTTTTTAATATCTGCTTTACAGCAGCTCCCATGGGATAAACCTTGCCTTTTTGGTGTGGTGCACTAGACTCTGCCTTGTTGTCCCAAATTAATTTTTGTTTTGTTTTTCATTCTCTTCTAGTGCAAGCATGTTAATTATTTATGTCACCCAAAAAGTAAAAAGTTCTCTTTTTTGCCTGTGGGATTTTGTTACTTTTCTGGAATATTAGCTACCTGTCCAACCCAGCACAAGTTATTTACTTGTAGTAAGGATCTGGCTCAAGGCTTCTTCATCTTCTTGACCTGTAACATTCCTTGCTCTGTATGGTCTTATTGGAATTCCTATTAGGTGAAATCTGTCATCTGCCTTCAGTAGTTCACTTAATGCATTATTTCTTGTCCAATGTCCTTCACTCCTTATGATCAGATAGTACTTACCAATGGGAAGAGGCTGTGTCTGCTTGTGTTTCTCTAGAAGACAGCAATTTCTCATCCTGGTAAACACTCAGAGATGTCTGTTGTTTCAATGTATATACTTCTAGGATTTGATTTGTATGTCACCCCTCTGCACTTGGAGGAAACATAAGGGAAAGATGTGTGGGTTGAAGCAGATTTATTCTAGATACCTACATTATGGCAAGGACACAAGCGAGTGGGATCCCACAAGCCTCAAAACTAACTGTATGGAAGATGAGCTTTTTCCTTTAGCCATGAGGGAAACAGGCCCCTTCTGGGACTACAGATACAAATATGACCTCAGCTGTTGTAGCTGGCTCAAAATCCCTCATGCAACTCCAAAGAACTATAGAAAAGGTTTCCTTTTGAGCTTGACTCAAAAGACACTCCATCAATTTGGGAGATTGAACAGGTTACACTACATGTTTGCATATATTTAGCCAGTGGCTGGCATTTGGTCAATGGCACATAATGTCCTAATGAATGAGAAGCCACTGAGCAAAATGGAACTTACCAAAGACATCTCATAGTCCCTCTAGGATAGAAACAGTTCCTGGGAAATATCTTCCTCTTAGTGCCCTGAGGAATATCCACGCTAGTGATCCTGGAAGCCTTCATCTACCTCTTCTCACCACAGCCACAGCCCAGCCACACCAGGGGGACTGGACTAGTCATTGAGTCAACCTAGTATGCAGTATGGCATGGTAACCATTAGCAATAAGATGTCCAGACTTAGCACATAAAAGTCCAGGATGTGCAGTTAAATGTGAATGTCAGATAAGCAATCCTAGGACATGGGCTGTATTTAATATTCTAGCATAGTGCATGGCACATGGTAGACACTCCATAAACAAAAGAAAGGATAGCCTGGACTTGCTTAGCTGTGTGACCTCGAGTCCATTTCAGAGTCTAATTTTCTCATCTTTAAATTTGATATAATTATTCTTATTCCTTTCAGCTGTTGTGAGGATTAAATGAAATAACCCATGAAAAGTGATCGTCACAATAGCAGGCACCCAGGAAGCACGCAGCGGTGGGGAGCTCTGTGTCTGTCTATGGGGTTGGCATACATGTGTGTATATATTTTGGCCGATATCACCCAGTAAGAATAGGAATCTTACCTAGAAGACTTGGTGGGATTAGGCTCAGAATGTTTGGGAAGGAGAGCCAGCCAATTTTAAAACTAAAAATAATCCAGCCCTCAGATCCCTGTTTGGGAGGGTTTTAAGCTAACAAAAAAAGTTTAGGTAGCAGGTGTATATTGTAGAAATCTGTAATGATTTAAATATATGATGGATAGAAAAGTGCAATGAGAGTTTGTTTTTTATTTATTAGCACTAAGCATTGTAAAATTGTTTACTGGATGGCTTCACTTTATACCAGTCTCACTTTATCTTTCTGAAATTAAACTCAGTTCAAGCTTCTGTGCGCTCTTTGCCAAAAGAATATTATTGTGCAGCAAAACCAAAACCTTTCCTTAGGCGATTTGTGTTGTATAATGACAGAAGGTCCTTGCATCTGAACTCTTACATTTCTGGAAGGATCTCTAACTCTACCATTTTCAAGGAGCACATTATCTTTCATAATATTTTAAAAGCATTGACTTTCATAGCCTGTTTACCCAAGCCTTTTTAAAAATTAATAATGGTGTTTTAAATGATGTGACTCAGGCATTTTTTTGTAGAAAATATGGAAATACAGGAAAGCATAAAGAAAAAAACAAGTTCAGAAATAATCAGTTAATCTTTTTAGTTATTGCCCTGCTGTATTTAATTCTAGTGGTTTATATTATGGAATAATATTTTCTGACTGAATTTTATATATTTTATCTAAAAATCTACTAAAAGCAGCTCCCATGAGATGTAGCTAAATCAAACAGAATGAAATTCCAGAATGAAAGAATATGCTGTGGTTTAGAGATATTTGAGTAGGTAATTATGGAAATAATCATTGTACTAATAGATCACAAAGTTGACACAAATGTAAGTTTCCTGCATGTAGAATTTTACACCAAATGTATGGGAGATGATTCAGTTCTCCAAATGAATCATGATCTTTAGTGTTACCAGTTCATTATAAAGATGGCAGGCGATCCTATGCTGAATTTAAATATTATCCCAAAAGGTAACTAGCTTAGAATGCACACAGTGCAGGAGGTTTACAAATCATCCATATTTTAATAAAGCATAAAGGTATACAGCCATAAGGAAAAGAAATTCTCATCAAAGATAATAGGGGTTGAGTTCAACTTTTCTTGTTTGTTTTTTGAGCTATTTTGTTCATATAACTTTATTTCTGGGTATCTTCATTATTTCTGACAAGGTCAGTGTCAAATAAACATATAAATTGGAGGACATAGAAAGGCTTGCACTTGCCTGTAAGCTCTCACAGTCCCCTGGGAGTCCAGGAGACCCAACCACTTGCTTCTGATTAAAGTGGTGGAATGGAAGCCCGTGCACCCAAAACTTGGGTCAGGTAATCATCATAATTGATGGCAGATATAATGATTTTTAACATTGGAAATTTTAAATTGTATTAAAATTGCATCACAAAATGGGAGCATTATAAAGATATCAAGAAAAAGGGAGTTTCCTTGCACACCTGACCTGATGGGCTTTCCAGCCCACAATGCATCTTGCATCAAATTTACTTAGTAACCAGTGGATTATTTCCATGTATTGGAAGGTCTCTCTGTATATATGTTGGTACAAATAGTGTAGATTTATAAGCGGCATGTTGATTACGTAAAACTAAAACTAAAACCTGAGTGCTTCCAACGCTGAGCTTGGTATTCCTTTACTGTCACACAAAGTGGTTTTGAAAAAAAAATTTTTTTTTGTATTAATTTGAACCATTTGTTTTGCTCATGGTTTGAATCTACCAAACTAAAGATAAAAAGGCAAGATAAATTACTTCTGTTGTGCTGGGGCTGTATTTGCTTTAAGTATTCAAAGTGTCTATTCCCATAAGATGACATTGAATGAATGGGCAGGCTTCTATTTAATTTGAACGAGTTCCTTCTTTCAAGATGGTTTTGTCACTGGTTCTAAACAAAGGACTCTATATTTTAGACTCATAGAGAAGTCATTTAAAAAAAAGTTGACTAATATAATTCTCTCTTTTTGGTGGTTATAATTTCTCTTTTCATTTCAAAGTTTTAGCTTAGGACTAATTTGTTGGAAGCAGCAGGTAAT